GATTCAATTCGATTTCGAAATCCATGTACTATTGAAATTCGTATAAGCCCAGGTGCGTGTTACTACTCGTTCCTGCGAGAACTCAGGGCTGTCAGAACACTTCAGGCACCTACTGTGGCCCAATCTGAGACTGTCTCAAAAGGAACTAACCCTGTACGTTCAGCCGTGTCGATTCAATTTGATTTCAAATCCATGTACTATTGAAATTCGTATAAGCCCAGGTGCGTGTTACTACTCGTGCCTGAGAGAACTCAGGGCTGTCAGAACACTTCTCAAGGGTTTTCGCAATCATTATGAGACTGTCTCAAAAGGAACTAACCCTCTACGTTCAGCCGTGTTGATTCAATTCGATTTCGAAGTCCATGTACTATTGAAATTCGAATAAGCCCCGGTGCGTGTTACTAATCGTGCCTGAGAGAACTCAGGGCTGTCAGAACACTTCAGGCACCTACTGTGGCCCAATCTGAGACTGTCTCAAAAGGAATCAACCCTGTACGTTCAGCCGTGTTGATTCAATTCGATTTCGAAGTCCATGTACTATTGAAATTCGAATAAGCCCAGGTGCGTGTTACTACTCGTGCCTGAGAGAACTCAGGACTGTCAGAACACTTCAGGCACCTACTTTGGGACAATCTGAGACTGTCTCAAAAGGAACTAACCCTCTACGTTCAGCCGTGTCGATTCAATTCGATTTCAAAATCCATGTACTATTGAAATTCGAATAAGCCTAGGTGTGTGTTACTACTCGTCGCCTGAGAGAACTCAGGGCTCTCAGAACACTTCTCAAGGGTTTTCGCAATCAATCTGAGACTGTCTCAAAAGGAACTAACCCTGTACGTTCAGCCGTGTCGATTCAATTTGATTTCGAAATCCATGTACTATTGAAATTCGAATAAGCCCAGGTGCGTGTTACTACTCGTTCCTGAGAGAACTCAGGGCTGTCAGAACACTTCAGACACCTACTGTGGCCCAATCTGAGACTGTCTCAAAAGGAACTAACCCTGTACATTCAGCCGTGTCGATTCAATTTGATTTCAAATCCATGTACTATTGAAATTCGAATAAGCCCAGGTGTGTGTTACTACTCGTGCCTGAGAGAACTCAGGGCTGTCAGAACACTTCTCAAGGGTTTTCGCAATCATTATGAGACTGTCTCAAAAGGAACTAACCCTGTACGTTCAGCCGTGTCGATTCAATTTGATTTAAAATCCATGTACTATTGAAATTCGGATAAGCCCAGGTGCGTGTTACTACTCTTCCCTGAGAGAACTCAGGGCTGTCAGAACACTTCTCAAGGGTTTTCGCAATCAATTTGAGACTGTCTCAAAAGGAACTAACCCTGTACGTTCAGCCGTGTCGATTCAATTTGATTTCGAAGTCCATGTACTATTGAAATTCGAATAAGCCCAGGTGCGTGTTACTACTCGTGCCTGAGAGAACTCAGGACTGTCAGAACACTTCAGGCACGTACTTTGGGACAATCTGAGACTGTCTCAAAAGGAACTAACCCTCTACGTTCAGCCGTGTCGATTCAATTCGATTTCAAAATCCCATGTACTATTGAAATTCGAATAAGCCTAGGTGTGTGTTACTACTCGTGCCTGAGAGAACTCAGGGCTGTCAGAACACTTCTCAAGGGTTTTCGCAATCATTATGAGACTGTCTCAAAAGGAACTAACCCTGTACGTTCAGCCGTGTCGATTCAATTTGATTTAAAATCCATGTACTATTGAAATTCGGATAAGCCCAGGTGCGTGTTACTACTCTTCCCTGAGAGAACTCAGGGCTGTCAGAACACTTCTCAAGGGTTTTCGCAATCATTATGAGACTGTCTCAAAAGGAACTAACCCTGTACGTTCAGCCGTGTCGATTCAATTTGATTTAAAATCCATGTACTATTGAAATTCGGATAAGCCCAGGTGCGTGTTACTACTCTTCCCTGAGAGAACTCAGGGCTGTCAGAACACTTCTCAAGGGTTTTCGCAATCATTATGAGACTGTCTCAAAAGGAACTAACCCTGTACGTTCAGCCGTGTCGATTCAATTTGATTTAAAATCCATGTACTATTGAAATTCGGATAAGCCCAGGTGCGTGTTACTACTCTTCCCTGAGAGAACTCAGGGCTGTCAGAACACTTCTGGCACCTACTTTGGCCCAATCTGAGACTGTCTCAAAAGGAATTAACCCTGTACGTTCAGCCGTGTCGATTCAATTGGATTTCAAAATCCATGTACTATTAAAATTCGAATAAGCCTAGTGTGTGTTACTACTCGTGCCTGAGAGAACTCAGGGCTGTCAGAACACTTCTCAGGGTTTTCGCAATCATTATGAGCCGGTCTCAAAAGGAATTAACCCTGTACGTTCCCCCGTGTTGATTCAATTCGATTTCGAAATCCATGTACTATTGAAATTCGAATAAGCCCAGGTGTGTGTTACTACTCGTGCCTGAGAGAAGTCAGTGCTGTCAGAACACTTCAGGCACATATTTTGGGACAATCTGAGACTGTCTCAAAAGGAACTAACCCTGTACATTCAGCGGTGTTGATTCAATTTGATTTCGAAATCCATGTACTATTCAAATTGGAATAAGCCCAGGTGTGTGTTACTACTCGTGCCTGAGAGAACTCAGGGCTGTCAGAACACTTCAGGCACCTACTTTGGCCCAATTTGAGACTGTCTCAAAAGGAATTAACCCTGTACGTTCCCCCGTGTTGATTCAATTCGATTTCGAAATCCATGTACTATTGAAATTCGAATAAGCCTAGGTGTGTGTTACTACTCGTGCCTGAGAGAACTCAGGGCTGTCAGAACACTTCAGGCACCTACTTTGGCCCATTCTGAGACTGTCTCAAAAGGAATGAACCCTGTACGTTCAGCCGTGGGGGGGCATTTCGATTTCGAAATCCATGTACTATTAAAATATGAATAAGCCCAGGTGCGTGTTACTACTCTTCCCTGAGAGAACTCAGGGCTGTCAGAACCCTTCAGGCACCTACTGTGGCCCAATCTGAGACTGTCTCAAAAGGAATCAACCCTGTACGTTCAGCCGTGTTGATTCATTTCGATTTTGAAATCCATGTACTATTAAAATTCGAATAAGTGCAGGTGCGTGTTACTTCTTTTGCCCGATGTACTTGATCCGGGGTGCAAGTAGGCTGGGCTATTTTGACTGTCACAAAGAGAATGAACCCTGTACGATCAGCCGTGTCGATTCAGTCGATTTCGAAATCCATGTACTA